CTTGAATAACAATTAAAAGAACTCCCCATCAGTTCTCTTAACTCAAAATTTGGTGGCGGCGGAAGTTTCCTTGGCCAGTTATATTGAAAATGTATGTTTTACAATTTGCAGTATGACGTAATCCATTGCTAAATTATGGTTCATCATAGACTAGCTAACCATAAAGCTAGCTAATGCCACTATCATCAGTCTGTTCTGTTGAGACAATAAAAGAAACTTTTAGAAAGTTTCTTTTTAAAATGCATTATCCTATTATTTTGGTTAAAACTCATAAATAACTACAAATAACTAATGTTAGGGAAATCTGTTAATGTTTTGTTGCGCCTTTCTGAAATAAATTTTTTTTTTTTTAAATATCGGCCGATATAACGGCATATCGATTTTAAAACCAAAAAATATTTGTATCGGTATCGGCCTTCAAAATCCTTTATCGGTCGGGCTCTAAGCAGAATCTCAAAATCCTCTTTTTTCCATATCATGTTTAGTTTCTTCCGTCATTATCATACTTCCTATCTCCACAGCGCTTGTTAGCTTAGCTTCCAAGATGGCTGATTTTGATTCAGTATCTGCAAGTGAAGTCCCACCCACTGATCTGTAATTGGCTGTAGGGTGAGTGGGACCCACATCTTTAATAATAATAATGAGCTAATGTTTGTAATCTCTACACTTTTTAATAAAATCTGACTTTCTGCTTATGGGCTCTATGCACGGCGGTATTTCCAGTGAAGGTGTAAGGATGTTCAATATCTTCCGCCGATCGTTAAAGTCAAATGCAATACCAAGAATTTATATTGAATTTTATACTCCATGGTTATACTAAAGAAACGTTAGTCACAAAAACAGACACCCATGTTTTGTGTTTATGCTTCAATTTAAAATTATATTAAATAAACATAACTATATATAAAATTACATCTAATCGTATTAAAGTTTCGTTTCAAAGACGGGACGACAGTAAATTTTGAAGACTCTGCCATAATCCCGTTTCCTCGGTTTTTCACCCACTTTAATCTCCCCAACCGGAAACTGACGAGCATCCTTGCGTCAAATGCGGAACTTATGTGTGCATATAGCCCATTATGATGCAAAATTATGATTTTTACGTCATAATAAGCAGGAAGTAAAACACTTAAATCCTTATTTCTCCAATCTCAGGGGAAAATAACGAATAAACCATGACCATTCAAAAATATGACTGGGTTTACAAAGATACAAAGCTTAATGCAAATGGGTGAAGTGTCCCTTTAAAGTCAGCATGAAACAGAAGTTGTTGGATTTTGTCCATTCGAAATTGATTGGATGGTTTGTGGTTTGCTACTGCTATATGATCTCATGTGATTGACAGGTTTCTCTGCCTTCGACCAGTACTATGACAACACGTCATAGAAGAGATGAGATGTTGCGGCAAAAGGGAGGGGAAGTTATTTTATGAGGGCACATGAAATTAAAAAAAATATATTATTTGCAAGGAAATATTATTTATTATAAATACTACCCTAATAAAACAAGATTTGTCCATATCTTAAACATTCCAGCAGCTCACTAAGGCAAAGTCTTACAGTGTTTTTAAAAAAGATGTGACGTTCCTCTTGTCATTATTGTAAAGCAGCTCCGGCACATCACCTTTTAACATACTTCCTGTGAAATGTTATGGTTAATCTCACAAACCACAATGTTCACTTCTCTCACGACAAAAGTACAATATAGTGCAAAAATAACATGCAGATTCGAGAACAAAAAACACTGTGGTTGGTGGGATCGCTAGAGCAAAAACACATTCATCAACACAAAATAAAACATCTGAGACTGATATTTTATTTAAAATATTTGCATCCTCAAAATAAAAGTTTGTTTATATATATATATATATATATATCAATACTTCTTGTTTAGAAAATGGTGAATATGTTTCGAAACACATGTATTATGTATAATGGCATTTTTTTTATATAAATGGGAGACTTAGTACATATTATGCATGTTTACTATATTGCATTGATACACTACAGACCAGATAATTATATAGGTCACATACACATACAGTACCGTTTAAAAGTTTGGGGTCAATACGATTTTTTTATGCTTTTGAAAGAGGTCTCTTATCTTCACGAAGGCTGCATTTATTTGCCACATGATTCTTCAGAAATCATTGTAATCTACTGATTTGCGGATCAAAAAACATTTACTATTGTCATCCATGATGGTTGTGCTGCTTAAAATATTTGTGGAACCCATGATAAAAACACGCATGTAGATCATTAATCTATAAATAAGTACATCCATATAAATGTTCCAGTTTATCTACTGCACATTGCTAACCTGAAAACGTATTGTTACCTTTTTGCACCAAGCATCATTTTTGCCTATTGATAAATATTGTATTTGTAATTTTACTATTTATTCTTTGAACATGTTGTGCAAATACGTCACAGGTTTGGTGTTTGGCTTCATGTCTTCATTTTGTTGAGTGGTTTTTGGGTCCTGCTCAAGCACGCTGGCAACATAGGAAAACTTTGAAGTCATTGTTGACATGGACTTTGATGTTGTCCTCCATCACTTTTGAATATATGAAGGCTCACTGACAAGCAGAGGACACTAGCACTCTTTAGACATCAAACATGACGGAGTGAGCGACCAGCATAAAGCATTAGTTGTGTGGAGTGCATTACCAGGCTGTCATCCTGAGACGGCATTAATGTCAAAATCATTTCTAATCACTTTCTCCACCATCTTTAACAAGCATGTCCAAACAAACAGTGCACAATCTGTGCTTGCTTGGGGGTTACAAAAATTGAATCACAAGCATACGAAAACATAACGTGTGGGTTTAGAATGACAAAAGTTTCATAGGTAAATGATAAAGAATGATAAACCAATGATCCTTTTTAGATGAGCTATGCAAGCACTATTTGTTTAATTATTTTTCTCTTTTTGACAAGAAACTGAGTAGGAGACAAATAAAGAAAAATAGTTAAATAACTAGTTTTTATTGTAAAGAAGAGCATGTGGTCTATTTGGAAATAAGACTGTCCTAACCATAACCTACAAACCCACTTGTCAAAGCCACACACTTGGCCCTGTTCTGGTCTAGGTCTAAGGATGATAAGTGAATTTCCTGAAAGGCCATCAAGAAAATGCAACCAAGTGAATTAAATTCATTCACATATGCACACATTCATTTGTGTATACTATACTGAAAATGGCTCTAGTTGAGTTGTTTGCACCGCTGTATTGTACTATTGGTCGTTTAACATTTCAATGGTATCACAGTTGTCAACTATTAAATGTTTAGCTACTTAAATCTTACACACCTCACTTTTTGACCAATAAAACTGAAGTTTCATGCTGTAATTCACACTTTGCTTCTGTAAAAAGTATTAGTAATGCCCACCTTCTTTGATTTGATTGCCCATCTCAGTCATTCTGGCATAAACTATGTTTCCATCCACCTATTTTTATGCCAATGTTGGGAAAACCACTGTATGCAACTGGCAAATTCTAAAAATGCGCATTAAAAAAAAAACGTATAGCCTACACTCCTTTGAGGAAATGCCTCAAATGAAGTCAATGTTTGTCATCAAAATGGTTGGGTACAATGACCCTCTAGAACTGACACACAATTGTAATCCCAAACATCAGGCATCCACATCCAAACGCAAGATAAATAAATTGACCGCTGGACCTCTAGGTTGAAAAATCGTCAATGCAAGTGAATGAGAGAAAATAATTATTTTCTAATCCCGTTTGAATTTTGCAATGAATGTGAACATATGTTGTCTGTGAATTTTTTATATAATGTTTCGTGTAAAGAATGCTACAATTTAGTGGGTAGAATTTTCATACGGTTAGACTTTGTGTGAGAGCACTTTGTGGACTACAACTCTTTCGACGTGTTTGATATACATCACCCCCACTAGCACACGGATCCCGCTATACATGCCTGTGTCTTTGGTGCACTTCACCGCCTTCTTTCAGGGAGAGGACAAACTAGTTGAGGTGGTGAAAACCGTGATTTGTGAAGGGAAAATGTGTGTTATGCGGCGACGTCACATATGCGACGTGTAGTCTTTCTCGTTATGTCTATTCCACAACTGCTAGCCAAAGAATCATACAATATACTGTCAAACTCGTTACGTGAGAAATTATATTAAAAAAATTCACAGACGACATATGTTACATTCATGGCACAATTCAAACGGGATCAGAAACGCTTTTTTCAACCTAGAGGTCCAATTGGAGTTTTACGGATGGGCGGGACTTACCAGCTCTATGTCTACGTGGTGTCTTGATTCGCAAGTTTTATTATGTATATTTTGCATCAACTTTCCAGGAAGTGACGATTTTGTTCTCTTGAACACATGAGATCGGAAATAACGTTTTATTCATTTTATGCGTTATTCAAATTTTGCGCAGCTACGGATGGAAACAGCTATTACAAGAGCGCTGATCAGCTCATGAGAAAGTATTTATTTGGTAATTACTTTATTACTTTTATTATACCCCTCGAAAGAAATATTACTCCATAAAAATACAATATCAATTATTTTCCCAAAGTATGAATTCTTCCCAATGTTGAATTCAGTTTGAAACCATTTGCTATCATGTTCATTAAAATATTCTGTAATGTTTTACACATTTCTTTACTGGACTTAAAGTAATGCTGCAAGTTTGAAAACTTCCTGTGATCAAAATATTGAATGCATAAGAAGCAGTACCTGTTTTCTGGGTCAGGGACAGTCATACTGCGGGTGATGTAGCACATTTTGAGGGGGATGTATCTTCGGTCGCCCTGTAAGGACAGTGAGGGGGGGCTAGGAATATCGAAGTGAGGACTGCCGAGACGAGGGGACTCAGGAGGCGGGGTCTCCCAGCCAATCTCAGACACCGGTGAGCCTTTTTTCACATATGGCGTTGCTTCCCGCATGTATTTCACTGGAACAAAAAAGAAACGGGTCATGACTACTGTGTACCGTTTGCACATTCTCTTCATCTCAGCTTCTTTTATGAAAACAAAAACAGTATATAGACGCACATACCTAAAGAGATCAACACAAAACGCCTTTGCGAGTTAATTTTCCATCAAGTGTGTGCACTGGGCCTTAGCCAGTCAGAAATGAAAGCAGGAAACCCCTACGCAAACCACTTTACCCCCACAGCTGTCCTGAGTGAGGAAATCAATTCACAGCATATTTGCATACTATTCTATTGCATTTCTAGAAGATTGCTGCTGGCTTTATGACAGGGCAATGAACTTGAGGCTAAAGCATCTACACATGAACGTGCTGATAACAATTACAACTGCCATGCTTCTCAGGTATATGTCACGCTAAGGGCCAATTATTCCCATTCCATATGACAGATTAATCTTTACAGGAAGCAGTTGACCATGTGAGCACAGGGCTATTTCACAATAGTAGAGGCATTTCACAAATTAGAATGGGCTGTTTGGCTATTTGGCATGACATCAATTTGGTTAAAACGTAATCATTCTGAATGCCTGAGGGCAACATTCAGTTTAATACATAAATGCTTCTCTCGGCAAAAACTTTTGCACATATATGCTGCAGTGTGTCAACACAACAGAATGATTTATTACAACACAATGACACTTAAAAAACAGGGTACACTTTAGTGTCCCATTACTTTTTAAATGACTCAAGACATTTAAAGATAACAGTCATTATTCAGCTCAATTTTTTTATTCAGTGTTGTTTCAATTCAGTTCAATAACTGCCAATATAGCAAAGTTCATAAACAAATTACTGCATTATTATAATGCAAGTTCACTATAATAGTATTGCATTATTACAGGATTGCAAAATTTGCAAACCTCATAAAATTTAGTTTGTACCTCCTTTGGTATCTTTCCCTGACCATTTGTTGGAAACATCAAGTATTGAGTTTGAGTATTTGAGCATTTTTTACTCTCTGGAATGCATCCATTCACTCTTTTGTCTAAAAATGGATCCTGAATTTAGGATAAGAAGTTTTTGCTATTGTGTGCTATTGCTCAAGTAACACACACAAACACACACACAAGAGAAGAGCCTCCAACTATCTGCCTCCAACTGTACTCAGTATGCATTATCATGAACTTTAGTTCACATGTTAACACAACTTACAAAGCTGGTGTCACTAAGGCTAAACGCCTAAACAAAAACCCCTGTCTTTACAACTTCACACTGATAAGATTAAGAACAAAACAAAGCAAGATAACAACCAACATAATCCATATACTCCATAATCCATATATCCATATATCTAAATGCGGAGACACAGTGAGAAGTTCAGAATGGTACTGCCAACGTCTTACATGTAACTGTGTACTTCACGGTCAAGGATTCTTCGGTCAGCTCTTGCATAAAACATTACAACTCAGAACTTTAGAGTCCACCACACAGCAGGTGGAACTCTATTCACAGGGCTAAAAGCTCCTGTGGTCCTTTATCCTCAAGGACAAGTTAAGAGACTAGCTACAAACACAAACTTATGAAAAGACTTTCTATGTTCTACAAAGGCAAAGGGATAACTTTGTGCTAAAACACTTAGTTATATTTTTGCTTATTTACTTAATCATGTCACTTCTGTGCCAGACAAAAGATGTTATGCAAATCTCCTTGACGTTTTGTGAAATTTGAAATTTGTCAATTTTCCACGTTTCGTGGAATATGAAATTTCTGCCCAAAAGCTGGTTTGCAATGTTTTTTTCTTCCCTGTGCGGGGTAGTTTTTGTGTTACCCAGCCGTTGGGGTAGTGGCTGGGTCAATCACACTGATAGTAGAAACAATACACAACTCCACACCCTCCCATAGATTCCTTATTCACGTGCACCATCTTTGAATGGTCAGCATATCATCGTGATGGGAAGTTTGGGTCATCATTTGGGTCCTCTTTGAGTCTCCTTCAGCAAAATAAACTAATCTTTTTTCCAAGTCATTTTGTTCACTTCAGCAAAATATAATTAAAATGAGACATGTTAATAGCCAAATTCTCCAACACATCAACTTGCAAACTCTCGAAGAAGAGTTTAATTATCGAAGAAATGGGATAACCTTTCACAGAGAACTTCTCACTGAGTATATATTGTGGTTATTACTATGGTACTTTTTAATAGGGATGAACTAAAATGAAAATTCTAGTCCAAAACTGAAATTTTAGCTTTTTCATTGGAAATGGATAACAGAGAATCGCTGGTTATTGAACTAAAATGTTAGCCTACATTAAATTGTTATTTCTAAAATTCTGTATTCAGAACCATATTAATCCCAAATAAAATACGTATCCTGGAAACACATGGTTGTGTAGTGTATTTTACAAAATTCTGCTGGATTTACTGAGTTCAAATAATAACCCATGTACGAGGTAAAAATAAGGTAGTATTACTGTACAAAAGAACTACCATAAATCAACCCATTATGCTGATTTAAATGAACAAACCATGCTAGAATAACCCATGGCTGGGTTTGTTCATATTTGACCCATAAGTGGGTTGCAAAACAACCCAATTTGGCTACTTTTGACCCTACATTGACTTTATAGGCAATAGGCTTCCAAGCAAAATGTAAATTATGAAAATTAGCAATGAGAAATCTATGTTTTAGTGAAGAACGGTCCATGACAGATGGAACATTCACACCTGGGAGTAGACAATAATTGCTCTCATTATGATGTGCACTCAAAAGAGAATGTTAAAAGTGCAACAGCTGAGAACACAACAATGAGAATTTAAATAGGAACCTCAGTTGCATGACCACAGTAAGCACCACTGAAAAGTCAAAAATCTGTCCATAAATTCAAATAGGTTTTTATTCACTTACTCAATTTCAAAACCTGGTAAACCCAGTTACGCCACTGTGAATGAAGCATAAATAATTTGCTGTCAGGGTGAAGCCAAACTCCATTAGAGCTGGGCAATTTCTTTTAACAATGTTCAACAATATTCAATACATCCAATACCGTTCAAAAGTTCACACATCAGTTATGAAAAATTAAAGCTCAAGCATGTTCGCTTTTATACTATGAGGTTCATTATCGTGTTATGCAGCACGTTTGAGCTTCTGCAAAAAACAGTGAGGTTAGCAAAACAAGTTTATGTTCGCTGATCAATGTTTATATGCATAAAAAGCTAAATTCAAACTGTTCGTCATATAAAGCAATCGTGTCTCTTCAGAAACTTTGGACTAAACAGCTCAATTCATGTGGATTAGTTTTACAATCTCTTCATGAACTTTTTGAAGAGCTAAAGTTGTAGTTGCATAGCCGTCTATATCTCATATGTTATTAAAAATATCTTCCTTTGTATTCCGATTCCGAAGATAGACAAATTTCTTATGGGTTGCATGGGACGACATGAAGTGAGTAAATGATGACAGAAATTGTCTTTTTGGTTGAACTAATGTTTTTGAAAGACGTCGCTTATGCTCACCGAGGCCGCATTTATTTGATCACAAAAACAGCAATATTGTGAAATAATATAATGATTTAAAATAACTGTTTTCTATTTGAATATATTTTAAATATGTAATTTATTTTTGTGAGGGAAAGGCTGAATTTTCAGCATCCATTACTGCAGTTTTCAGTGTCATATGATCCTTCAGAGATGATTCTAATACGATGATTTGGTGATTAAAGTTGACATGAATCAGAAGTTTTGTCTTTTCTTCCCTATTGTGATATATATCCAAGTAAAATTGCAAAAAATGGATGGATGGATCACTTGCTGCAGGTTTTGGTTTGCTATTGCTATGAAGTCATATGAGTGACAGGTTGTCCCGCCTTCATGCCAGAGCAAAATGTCATGTCATTTCATGTCATGTCATGAAAGGAGAGAGGAGAGGAGGGAAAAATGTCTGATTAACGATAACGAGGGCACGTTATTAAAAATTATAATGATGAGCACGGATAAATCTTTTATTATAAATACTGCCATAGTCCATAAAAAATATTTTTCCATTTTGATTTTATGTTGACTTTAAGAAACATTTCTTATCATTAACAATAAAACTTAACCAAAACGGTAAGATATTTGTATATTTGTTTGAACAGCAGTGAACAGCATGTCAATATGTAAAATGTTTCAACCTAATAATAAACAGAGCAATTCCAAGTGGGTCCTCACACCATCGGTGCTCATGCCCCAATAACCATTAAGTCATTTAATTTTTAATTTATATTCTATACAAATACCCAACAACATACCAATAAACAGCAATATTCACTATACATATGTAAAAAAATACATGAAGAGACTTCTTGAGCAAATGTGAATCATAGTTTTGAATCGAATCACTGAAACTGGTTATGTTGGTTACTGTTACAACACCAGCAAAATCATTGCAATTACATTGCATAACATGATCACATAACAAGTTGGTTGTTCAGAAGACAACAGCTGGGCTCGAATACCAATTTTAAACCTAAATGTCTTTTTCTCCAGGTGGTTTGTGCATTTAAAACATGAGATCAATGTTACATGAAACCAGTTATTCTAGTTTCGTGGCCGTAGTTCAAATATCTAGTTTACCATGTGGAGTTGACTTTATTTGAGAATACACATTCCTTTGTCTCCTGACCTTTGTTGAAGGGAATGTTGGGAATTAAAGCGAATTGAAAGAACTGGCCAAGTTGCGTTACAAACATCAGGTTGGATCAAGGAAATGATATTGCTGTGGATGATTAAAACTCGTTTTTCCCTTAACCATTAACTAACTGGGCAACAAGTTCTGAAGTAAACAACAGAACGACAGAGCTTGCATGTACCGCAGATGTGTTGTCCCTGCTCCCAGTATACTGGATGCTTTGAGGATGAGGTCATGTGACTTGTGAGAGTGGTCTTAACTACATGTTTCCCTCCCTCTGTAATAGATATAGTCCTCATTCCAATCCCCGTTTTATTCTCTTTCGCTTTATCATTTATTTACAATTCTGAATCAGTGAGTGAATGAGAAAGAACAGAAAGCATAAAGTGGCACATTCCAGGAATTATTTATTTGTACCTGTGGCTTATGCATCTTAGTTAAGATTAAACTACGCAGTTTGCAGAGTCATTCTGTCACACTTTGTACTAGTAATATCGAGAATGTGCTTCTTTGACTTCCAGAGTGTTTCCTTTTCCCTATTTCTGAGTTTACTTCTACAGAGAGTCTTCGCTTATGACTATAATTTAGGGAAAAGTGATTCTAGTTTAAAGCATATTGAATAATACAGATACTAAATCCCATTTTTGTAGAACACTCATCTGAACACTTTTGAGTGCTTTTTATCTAGGTTTTAAAAATGTGATTCTTTGTTCAAAGAGAAAGAAAAATGACCTTTTTTACTTCAACTGGCAAATTGCTAATTTGATGCATGATGTTTTTTATGCATAGTGATTTAAAAAAAGACAAAAAAGTAATTTTTACTTAAGTCATAACTAGAGAATTGGGTTTTTTTTTTTTGTGTAGCTATCAACTTGTCAAACGCCTTGAGACTTTACTTATTTTTTTGTATCAGACCTTGAATTCAAATTGACTAAGACATTAGTCAATTTTGCCAAAGACATTGACTTGTCCCCCAGACAAATGTGTTTCTCAAGAATATAGACAAAAAATGTGAAAGGGCATCAGGAAATATGTTAAAAGACTACAGTGTTGATTGATAGAGTGGTGACAAACTAAAATTCATGTTTGGTGTAGTAAATCTGTAAGAGTAAAAGGATGTGCAGATATTTCTGGCAAGTAACATCAAATTTAATTATTCAAAGAAGCCAAATCCCAAGGACAGGACAAAGGAATCATGGGCCTTCATTTGACATGCAAAACTCACTCACTTGTGCAAGTAGCGAGCTTTATGGACAACTGGTTGATATATTAGATGCTTTGTTCACTGTAATAGTCTTGATACTGTACTACTACTGTACAATCCAAACTACTGTACTCAATTGGCCTATGAATATGGTAAAACTAGTTATATATATATATTTTTTTAAATCAGAATTTGTGATAACATGAGGGCTCCACAGGAACCAAAAAAAAGTCTTTATATCAGATTTGGTAAAGCTTTAATGTAATAATTAATTTAATTATCATTTATGCACCCTCCTGTTGTTCTTTCCTTCACTGAATACTAAAGATGTTACCTAGATGGGTGACTTGAGGGTTTTCAAACAAGTCAATACTATAGAGCACTAAATTCCAAGTCTTTTGAAGTTGTATGATAGGTTTGTGTTTTGAACAGGACAAAATTGTATTTATTATTCTCTGAAAAACCTGGCATTTGCCAGAGCTCTCAAATCTTATTCATGCTATTTGAATGCATGTACATATTCAAATGTGGTGCACCAGGATTGGTTATGAGACACATGAGAGCCAATGAAGTTTAAAAGGATAGTTCACTCTGAAAATGAAAACTCTGTCTCAACCTCAAGTTGTTCTAGACTTGTATGAGTTTCTTTTTTGAAAGACCAAAACAGTTGTTGGCCCCTATGCCTAGATAGTATGAAAGAAAAAAGTACTATGGAAGTCAATGGGCAGCAGGAACTGTTTGGTTGACAAAATTCTTCAAAATATCTTCTTTTGTGCTCTACAGAACAAAGAAACTCATACAAGTTTAGAACAACTTGAGGGTGAGTAAATGATGACAAGTGAACTATCCCATTAATTTTCATTAACATCAAACCCGGCATTACACGACTTGATGTGTACTTACTCTCACCCTCTGAGATAAAGCCAACACAACACTTTGGCGAATTTGTATAAATTCATAATACCTCAATTGTCCATTTTCATACAATTTGCTTACGCCCAACTGAGGGTTAGTTTAGGTGTGGACCTTCAAGCCTAGTTTTTTTCTTAAAACCAAACATTTATAAATTCATTTGAAATCCCCAATTCATAAAATGGTTACATTTTGTCATGAGATCGGGTTGGAAAAAATAGCGTCAAGCAATACTCTGCTAAACTTCCATGGAGGAGGACACAGAGTCATATAATACTGGAATAATATGAAGGAGAGTAAAAATGACTGTCCAATACCATTTTATCCAAACGTGGACATCTGCCCATCAGTGACTAAACCACAGCACAGTCTGACATGACCGCCGAAGGCAGATCAATTCTGAAGAATGAGGATATGACAAAAAAAGTTTAGCACATCTGTGTTCACTTAGTCACAAAGACGTCAGGTGGGGAGCTGCAAAGTCACTGAACAAGCCTGGCCAAATATAGATGTGTAATCTTGGTATCAGTTGCATAAATCAGCTTGAAAGAAACTAATTTAAATGTTGAATTTCCAAAGTAATCTGGCAAAGTTACTTTCTGTCATGCAAGCCTGTCAAACTTTTATGGCGATTCAACAGGGAAAACACCAAAATCAAAACATTCTTCTCCATGGCTGATTGGCTGAATGCCCAGTTTAACTGATTTACAGAAAATGACTAATCTGACCCTCAGGTCAGTGTACAGGAAAATCTTTGAATATCATAAAAAAAATTCAGCACAGTGCTGGTATGGGGTTAAAGTCTTGTGTAGCAGTCTAGCAGTGAACTGCTAACACGACCGATAGAGTAAGAGCATTTGCATTCTCCCATCATACCACTAACGATGTACTCTGTGACCGAGATTTTAAGATGTACAGAATAGTATGCGCATTACAACAGGATGTATTCTTACAATGGCATCTTTTACAGGATAAATACAATACATTTGCCTGAATTGGTGCACTTACTGTAAATTGTCCTTTATTTTGATCTCAATAACTATTAATATTTTGTAATGCGCAGAGATATGTATTTCCCTGGCCGCAATATGCTAGGAATTTAGCTCTTAATTTGAATAAATTAAACAAGTTTGCATATTTTGTACATGGTTTGAAATGGTACATCCTTTTTCCACTGTATTTCCTGTACCAGGTATTTTCAGTCTTCCTGCTGTTGCTCACGTATCTAACCACATTTTCTATGATCCTCAGCTGTATTGTGAAAATCAATGAAAGTTATAAACGTCGTTCTGAAATCTGTGCTATGCTTTTGATGCAGTCCCAAGGGAATTTAATAGCTTTGTCACACTTAAGGGTGCTTTCATCCTCAACGTACAACACTGGAGGGAACAGCAAACATGTCCATGACTCCAGCAATGACTCAGACAGCAACATAGTGTCGGCCCAGATCCGGGACACATCTGGTATGCGTTGAATTCACACGTGCCAGATGTGGCAAGGATCTGGGCCGACACTATAGTGCTGTCTGGGGACCGTACGTGTAAGCCAAGGACGTGTTTGTGGTAGCCTACAGTCAGTTTTGCTTAAAAAGCACACACAACTTAATCCAATGTGACCTGCAGGTCTGATAGGCTAACTGGTGTCTGAGATGGTATTTGGTTTAGCAGGGTAACTTGTTGGGTGATAAAAAAAATACACCAGTCAAGCATGTGAGATGGTTTTGGAGAGCTATATGTGCACAGACCAGCTTAACCTGGTTTACAATGCCATAGAAGAACAATTTTACATTCTTCTGTCTGTGGACAATTTGAAGTGTTGAAGAACAAGTTGAAGAACAATCCAAAGAATCCTTTTCTACTAAAAATAATCTTGAATGTTCCATGGATGTTTAGGTTCTTCTTATAGTACCATAATGCAAATACAATTAACAGTTTGTACAGTGTTGTGCATGTTGTCAATTCTTCAGTTCTCTGTCTCAACTGATAAACCTAAACTCAACAGCCCCACTGAAAGGTTTTCCAGCGTTTCTCCAGTCATGTCCTTACCTTCCAGCATAACTTCTCTGCCTGCTTTCTTCAGCACCTGTACCGCCTCGTCGTGCGTGGCGTCCCGCAGATTGATCCCGTTCACGGACAGTATCGCGTCCCCCACATAGAGCGCTTGAGTCTGATCCGCAGCCAGACCCTTGAATATCTTACTAATTAGAATAGGCATCTTGTTCTCCTTCCCGCCTTTGATGCTTATCCCTAATCCACCGACCTCCTGCTTGATAACTTTGACACATCTTTTACGGTTCGCAATCGCTTCGGGAACTTGTGAGTCCGTGAAAGGAGTCCATACTGCGGCTTTGGGACTGTTCGTGGGGTCCGGCTGGTCGTAGGAGCCGTTGGTGGTGATGCCGTTGAGGTTAATGCTGGTGTCTGTCGCGGGATCCTCGCAGCTGAGCGTCAGTGACTCGTCGCTTAAACTCGCCAGCACCGCGTGCCATCGCTCCCGTACTAGCACTTCCAAACATGCACTTTTCTGCACTCTGTTACCACAAACCGCCATCTTTGAAGCATTCTTAAAATGCCATGTGATTTCATAGACACGCACAGGACTTTACCCCCGATCAGGGAAAAAGTTGTGATTCAGGTTGAATAGTTTCAGCCCCTCATAGGCTCCGCAAGCATATCCTATTTGGGTGGAGCAAATGTCCGAGATGTCCTGTGTAGCCATGCTGAACCCTCGCTCTAGCAGCGAGGAAATGTTTGGATTGAAGTCTGCGTGATTCATCGAAGTAACGTTACTGGACACACGTTTTACCTTTAAATGTGTTTAACACTTACTCCTCTAATGACAGATGGCCATTTAAATCGTTCAATCGGTTATATTTCGTTATGACATTGGTTATTGGGTCCTTTTCATGTTTGAAATTGGCAGTTTTTGATTCATACGATGTCTTTCGAGGGATTTTTAAAAGGAATGCATAGCTGTGGGAAATATTCTAGGACAGGTGACGTTCCGTCAAACGAAACGTGTTCTTGCGATTACATGAGGGCGATTTCTGTTCACGAGCGTTTGTTTACCTCGTGAAAACACGCAGCCGCTTACAATTGTAATCAGACTTTTGTGGTTTAAATATTGAAACTCTAAATATCATAATGGTAGGCCTATTTTCATTTACGAAGAACATTTTCTTTTAAAACCGCAATAACCATCCATAGTTATGGAACATTGATTTCCGCTGATGCGATTCACACTAATTGCAAACATTGCAAACGTTTTGAATGAAACTGAAAGTTGTTTTGCAAATTCGTTGATGTTGTCTTTAAATGTACGTAATGGAACAAGTTTATTTGTGATTATTATCTACAAGCAAGGTGACAAATACGGATATGTGTGTAAACAATACGTTGCTTGCAGTGAAAGGTAGTCCACCAGACTACCACAGTCTAAAAAACACAGAGTTTTTAGTGCCATCTCGTGTTTATTATTGGTTACTGCACTTATATGAAAATAAATTATGTATTGTAACAAACAAAAACTTTGTGGAATTTTTTGTGTATTCATTAAATTACCAGATTACACTATATTTTTTATCCTTACTCTCTTTGCATTTCATTAACTTATTGATATTCTCTTATTTTGTTGGCTTTACGCTCTTGTATGTGAAGATTTTCCACAAGTCTTGTTTACTACTGTATATGTCCACAAGTCTTATTTACTACTGTGAAATGTAGGTACATAACACACATAACAAAACAACAATAACTACATAAAACATAACAAAAAAAAACAATAACTGACAAAGCCATGGGGTCATTGTTTGAGTAAGCACTTGTTGAACTTTGTTTGATTAAAAAAATGATGATAATAATAATGAACTAAGTTCAGAAAAAAATAAATAGACTAAATGAAGCCCTCAAAATAGCCATATTCTGTAGGCATATAGCAGATTATTCACAAAACTGATGTTGATATGAAAATCTCCATTAGTTTCACTTCCACTCCACTCTTACTTTCAGAAGCTGACTTTGAAGCAAACACTTCAAAAATAGCAATCAAACATGATTAGAATTAACCAAACTGTATCTAAAGTTACTGAGAACAACAATAGTGTTGCTGTGATTTAAAGGTGCCCTAAACATTGTTTCATGTCACTCTGGTATTGATTAAGATTAAATAAAGGATTAAGAGTACTTGCATGAAATTTATTAGTTAACCTCACTACAACTTGCAGGAATTTGTGCCTGTAATTTACAAGGGCTGCTGTACCCAAGGGAATGTTTTCCCTCATTTCTTCCTTTCTAATTTGTGCAAGTGCTTTTTGTCGGTCCCTCACGATTGTGAAACAGCAGGGAGGCACATGCTGCTCATTAGAGTTGAAATAAAAGTCCATGTTGAAACGTCAATGATCTCTGTATAGTGAGAAGAGAATGACTCAAGGGTGAAAGACAGATTCTGCGATGCACTTTTAATACTTCCTCACCACCATTCTCTCTATGTGTGGTTTAGTTAAAAGATGATTTAGCCTTCAAAATAAATCATCAGTGACGTGAAAATTATTCAGTATTTTGTCAAAATTTTAGTTTGAGGTTTTAAACAGGGTCAAGACGGTTTTATAGCCTTTAAAAATGTAAGTGATAAATAAGACAAGTTTAATATGTTGATGTACTTTCCCTATGATCCTAAAAGTCGACATGAAACGGGTGTTGCAATAGATTTATTGACATTTCCGAAGACTTGTCATTTCAATATGAATCCACATGATCTGTAATTTTGAAAAATGTTAACCCTAGAGAAAAATGCGAAAAATGTTACCCCTAGAGTAACCTTTTAATTTTGCCCTTGAAATTTAGCTACCCTCCTTTACCAATTAAATATTCGTGGTTACTGAAACATGACATATTTATATACTTAGAAGAAGAAATAATTAGTATACTAATTATGCTAAAAGCTATATTAAGTCCAACCTTTTGTTTTTATTTATCTGCCTGACTGTCAATGTACATTGTTGGCACCGATATTATAATATCTCTTTATAATATAATATAATATAATATAATATAATATAATATAATATAATATAATATCTATCATGCATCATGGGAACATCAGAGTGGATGATCAAGCTGTAATGCAATAAAAGTGGACTAAGAAATTAAGTTCAGTATGTCAGGGTGATCTATTAGAAATATTTTGGACCTTCCAGAATTGTGCTGTCACATTCCTTGCTGGAAAACTGCACTAAGATAAATTGCCAAGGAATTCTAAACTTCATTAAATTCAGCAGAATCTAAGAATAACTGTATAAGGAATAGGTCAGCAAAATGTATAGTGTTTTAGGCATTTATATGCACAATTCATCATATCAACTGACAGGTCATTTGTAGCACACCTTTAAACAAACAATGCCTACAAACTTGCAAACTGCCATGGTCTGAAACAAAAATCTCATTCCTCAACGCATTCTCATCCCAAGACATCATTTAACTGACAAATTTGACCATGCTTCAACATCCGACGCTTTAGGCACCCTTTAGCATCAGTTACATGACGCGATCCTAGGCCGTCATCTAACTGACGCTTTACCTTCAGTCATAAAAACGGAATTTAGTCCTACACCTCTGAAGGTGGGAAGGTGGGATCTTATGAATCTTATGCTTTTAAAGCTACAGTAGCTTGTTAGCCTCTTGCAATTAGAAATTGCCTGCCCTCCAACACTTGTTTATATGTGAAGCTAAATGCCAAATGTGTTTGATTTCAAATACAGCTCAAACGTAATCATATGGAGACATAGTTTATAGCCCCATTAAATGAAAGCAGCATATTTGGGGAATGTGGTGGTCTTAATATGCAGCACAATATGTGCCAGAAGTGTGATCATTAAAATAACACATCTAAGAAGCCTGTATTGTTCTTGAAGCCAGTTATGGATTTTATATGTTAAGGCTAATTGTCCGCTCTCCACCCTTTAAGATCCTGACCACAGAACTTACATTACAAGGAATCAACCAAATTTTACCTTGATCATAACAATTGACAAAATATGGAAATGTGGAGCAACAGAACACCTTATATAAGGCAATTAGAGCAATAACTGGAAACTCTCGGGGGGGAATTAATTGTATTATGAATAAAACATCAGTTCAACCAGTTTTTTTAAATTTTTTTATTTTTTATTTTTTTACAATTCAGTCAACTAATGACAAAACATGTTCACCTGCCTGGCTATAAAATAGAGTTTATAAAGAATAAAAACAGCAACCTCTTTAATATAATGCTGCCGTTAGAACAAAAGGACATATATTTTCACACTGTTTACAGCATTACATCTCAAAATGTGTTACGATTCAGTTCTCTGATATGCTTACAGTATTATGAACTTATAAAGTTAGATTAAAAAAAAAAAAGAATCATGCAGAACCAGGAGTGAAAGGCTTGTTGGCATTGCCATGGCAACACATTGCTTATTTTAAAATGCTGTGAAAGGATTATATGTTACATAAATGGAAAACCATGACACCAAATACTTTGAGGCTGACAGCAGGACAGAAGAACTGTTCACAGTTTCAATGCAAAATCCCATGTGTATACTTTTCCATTGTGTTTAGCTAATAGACTATTAATTTGCCAGAGGTATTGTTGAATAATATTATCTGAGCTGGTCTATAGGTATAGCAAGGTGTGTGTGCTGACCATTAAAAAGGTTACTGCAATATTTATTTTTCCATTGCATGATTTAAGTTAATTAAAAGCTTTACTGTGCTGTGCTGCTTTACATCATGACATGTATGTATATGCAATTTTTTTCAAGTTTCACAGTGCTTTTACTGCTTTAGGTCAGGATAAAAAAAGTATTGTAGTTGTAAGAAATAGAAACTGAATTTAGACATAATTTTGTAATATTAAAAAAGTTATAATATTTAAAAAAAACATCTGTATATATATATATATACACACACACACACACACACAGTATATCATAAATGTCAAACTTTTTTTCTAAGAAACTTTTATTCAGAAATGATGCATTCAATTAAAAGGGACTTAATTAAGAACTTTAAAGATTTTAAAAAAGATTTCTATTTGAATTCCTATTAATCAAAGAATCCTATTTGCTAGTACAGTTTTAGTGAAAATATTAGGCAGCACATCTGTTTTCAGAAAGAAATGTTTCTTGAGCAGAAAATAGCATATCAGAATGATTTCTCAAGGATCATATGTCAATAAACTACACTTTTTACACATTTTCAAATAGAAAATTGTTGCATTATAAACAGTATTTTTATTGTGATCTTTTATCAAATAAATGTAGCCCTGTCCAGCATAAGAGACTTCTTTCAAAAACAATCAAAAATTGTTCCAGACTTATTAATGTTAATATCATTTATACACTATATTTTACCATGTTGCTATATTTTGACTATATATTATACTCCTTCCACTATCTTATGCTAAGATACGACCACTCTGGTGCTCTCCTCCTGCATGGGCAAGTTGTTATTGTGAAGCGCATGTGGAAGCATTTGAAGGCTGCTGGTTTAATTCTCCCCATGAGGGCAGCATGATGATGATAATCATCAAACTGCTCTGATACAGGTCCTGGAAGAATAACGACTGTCAAAGTATATGTGTAAATCTGTTTCAAATATTTATGTGTATCAGGAGTAGGTGTGTGCCAGGTGTCTAGAGATAATGATCATCAAATCCTTAAAGTTCA